TATCAATTCTCACATCTACCAAACAGCCGTCTCATACGACCAGCACGCGCCACTGGCAGCAGCAATAACAAATATGACGATGTGCCCGAGTTCGATAGAAAGCAAGTGTCTTTGGATTTCCCCGATGAGCTTTTTAACAAATCGTTTGCAACTTTGACGAATATTTCCAAGTCTTTTTCGCGACTTATTATGGTAAGTTAGCCAAAAGCGTACCAATGTATGTACAAATCAGGGATGTTGCGAATATTTGCATTCGCATTCGCATTCGTTATGCGAATGATTCGCATCAGTTTACACATTCGCATTCTCATCAGATGATAGGATTGTTTTGCTAATGCGAATGTGTACATGGGCAGAGAGTTTATTCCAATATTGTTGAAATGGCTTAGCTTCAGGCGCTAAACGGTTAAGTAGTAATCATGCAACATTGATGGACCTTCACCAAGTATTTTAGATACATCCAGCGAAAGCGAATGCTCGGATGTAGAATCTGATATTCATTATAGCATTTTTAATGTTATTCCTAACATTCGCATTCCGAAAATTCGCATTCGCATTCGTGAATGTGAAAAATATGACATTCGAAACATCCCTGGTACATATGTTTGCATGCAAGTAGTCAAATACATACATACATATACAACATACATACGAAAGCTTTTTTCTTGTTTTCGTTAAATTGAAGCTATAACTTGCTTGTATTGTAAGTAAAGCTTTTAAATAAAGTTGGACTTCGCTTTAGTCTTACATATGTATGTTTGTACTCGCATTATGAAAGCTTTAAAAAGCTGAGTTGGTTAACTGTTAAACTTAAACTTTGATAAATAACTTCCAGTACCAAATTTCAAGCTTACTTTTTTCTAATCAATTTACATTCTTTATTTCTTCATTTCAGAACTCCGCGCGCCGTTACTCGCGTTTTGTTTTGTTCTTTAAACCCATCTTTGGCGATGCTTTGGTCGTCAAAGGCTGGGAAGATCCAACGACGACAACAACTACACCGAGATCAACAACAACAACAACAGCAACTTCATCTAATTCGTTTGATAAGCAAAATGAAGTATAATTTTTAATTTGATTTCAAGTATTTATATTAAGTAATCATTTATTTTAAATGAACTTTAGCACCACGAATTTGGTTTTGTTTCATACACATCAAATTTGAATTGAATTTCGTTGCACATTTTAAGCATGCTAAGTAAATAAAATTGAAATATGGCGATTTGGGTTATGGATGTACATAGTTTTGTTTTCAGTTGATTCAAAATTATTTTATAAAGATGATAATGTACTCATCTCATGCTAAATTTTGTTGTATTCCTACCTATTATTCCCCACAGATATACAGTCAGCCAACAAAATTTAAGTTCGTCGAATTTTTTGCAATACGGGCAACTATTTTTTAAATATTTTAGTTTTCGCTAATCTTTTATAAAAATATGGTTAATGGTACAACAAAAACCTCAAAAATTAAAGTTATAAACCTTGTGCAAAATTAAAGAAAAATCTACAAATTTTCATTCAGATATTGCACTTTTTATTTATACTCTCTAGAGAGAAGTTGGGTACGCACTTTTTAGCCCATTCAATTTTAGTATAACAAAGTGCAAGTTTGAGGTAACTAGGAATTACCATTGATTTTTGGGAAATTTTTCTGTTGAAGGTGCCGCTCATTCCATACAAAATAATGTTCGATAATTTTTTTTTACCAGAATAAGAAACGTTCAGCTGGTTTACTAATGTTGACTTTAGAGACCTGGTGTTTTTCACAACAAGCTGTCTCAAAATGCAGGAGATTAAGATTCTCTACTGGAGCTAAATTCTTTAGCGTAATTTTTGATATAAAGCCTGCCATGGGGACATGGTGAGGTTTGAAAGCATACATAACTTGTACGATTGCCTAGGGACTAGTTCCAGTTGAGTCCACGTATCGGATCAAAATGGATAGGCACAGAGAGAGCCTAGTTATTCCATTGAATTTTCTTTCCATAGATCCAGATTAAAAGTTGCCCATTCCACAGATATGTTCATACAAAAAGATTTCGATATTACTCCGCTTTGAAAACAGGTTTCTCAGAATCGCAAAGAGAAGCAAAGCTTCGCCCCGTCATAAGACGATACAACCAAAGACTTTAGGGGCGCTGCCTTCGCCACTATATCAAAGTAACGCTTGGAATCTTAAATTCCAGGGCAGAAAAGGAAGGGATCTTTGGCCCCACAGTCGTAAAGTTCAGCCTCCTCGCCGAATAAGTTCGATAACCGACGGAGACTGATCGACTTTGCAGGGCTCCAAAGCTCAATAGTGTGCAGCACTACTAGTTTCCAACATAAGAAGCTACATGGCTGTCTGTGTTTCGAAAACCGCGAAATAAACCAATCATTTCATAGGGTCGTTACAGTTCGCTCTTTTGTGTAAATGGGCACCCTCGATTTCATTCTTCATCGTCATCCTTAATAAGTACCGAAATCGTTGTATTTTTATGCATTTGACTCTGTCCATGTCAATAGAAATCTCGGAAAATACACCAATCCACATTCTGCGGTACCCATCGCCCACATACAAAGGGCGATAGATCATATGTTTAAAGGTACTGTAAAATCCGTTTGGAAACAGGAAAAGGGTGTTGTTGGCCGATTTCTTTACTAGTATTTTTTCCAACCTTTGAAGCATTGTAAAAATCTGATTAATGGTGGACTTACTAGGTATGATGACACACTGTTAAGGCCCGATCAGTTGCTTCATGGTTCAGTATTTCTAGCCAGATCTTCGGTGGGACCATATTTTCTGGAAAAGGCTTAACCTGTGGTAAATCTAACTAACATCCGAGTTGCTCTTTTTACTTCGTTCTTGTTGAGTGTGGCGGCGTGAATATTGTCTCTGTATATTTCTCTGGATTATTTTTCAACAAACGGTCTATCGGTGTCTTCGTTCAACTGTGCAGTAACCAACACCCGGCTTAGACGCCATTACTTTGTGATCGAATTTAAAATTATTAAAAATTATTATTGATACTCTCAAGGAAGCTGGAGTTGTATATACATACTTTTGTAGTAGGATTATATGTTTGCAGTAAAGTAAAATAAAACTGGCGCTGCTATGATACCGATACTACATAAATAGTTATGAGTATTTCATTTTATAAACATTTCCCAACTCAACTTTACTACTACTTTACTCTAGTTATACAACTTCCTTACGG